AGAGCCATGCCGCCGGCGTAGCCGGCACTTGCAATGGCGAACGGCACGGCCATCACAGCAGACGGTGCTGCGAACGTAAACACTGTGATGCCTGCTTGCTTCCACCCCATATGGCCTTCATCTTGCTGCACGAGAGGAGCAGTTTGCGCCTCACCCTGGTCCATGGCTGCTACGAGACGCCCTGGCCGAGCTCTGGTCCTAACTCCACTCTGTGCAAGCGCGAAGGGCTTGCCGGGCCCGAAAGAAAAGCGAGCCGCACGTTGCAAACAGCAATGCTCTGCTGAGTGTGATCAAAGCGCGAAGACCTTGAGATACCTGGAGCGCAGGCAAGCCGTCCTTGGATGAGATGACGACGGATACTCGCAGAGGTCGAAACATCGACCGAGATTGTCTCTGACGAAGCCCTGAAGGTGAAGGCCTGCGTCGTAGAGCGTACCAGCAAAGTGGCAGCAAGGGTCAGGATAACCCGACTCTCATACAGCAGTAGTACTGCGAGCAATTGGTGCGAAGCACAGGAATCTGCGCCTGGAAGGGTATCGGCGGGGCCACCAGCACCGCACAACTGAGTGCCTCGTACTATATTTCGGTAGATGATGGTAGATACATCATGCCCTACGTGGTTGAACCCGAGCTATACGACTGCCTTGAGGATCATTGATGTATGCTTGGTTATTGCACGTGTAGATGTACGGGTGTATGTGTATATATACACACACTTGTTTTTCTCCTGTGCATGTGTATGTATGTATGTATGTATGTATGTATGTATGTATGTATGTATGTATATATATATATATGGGGGTCGTTTGTATGTGTATTGATATCTGCTTCATATAAATATTCACCTTTGCATTTATGTGTGTATCTGTTGGTGTGATTTTTTGCCTCCTGCATGGCTGAGCGAGTCGCGAAGCAGGGTGATCTGTTGGTGTGATAGTTTTACCTGTTGTTGTACACTGACGTTGCATTGCAGCCATTTTTGAATCCAGACTCAAATCCCGCCATAGTCTGTGATGTCATTGTGTTCCTTCTTGCGATGACAATAAGTTCAAAAAGTAGGTTACACTTCATATAAGCAATCTTATGGCATCTTACATCATGCTACGTTTCGTGGTAATAATGCGCATATAGAAACATCGACTCATAGATACGTTGATCCACTCATTCAACTCATGCATTCATTCACTCATCCATCCATTCCTTCATTCATTCAATCCAGTTCAGTGCAATTGAACTGAGTTCAATTCCATTCAATCACTCCACAATTGAATCATTCATTCACTCATGCACTCCATTTATTTCGTCCATTCCGTTCATTCAGCCGGGCAGCCAGCCAGTCCTATATCGTTCTATATGTATACATATATGTGGATACCAGCACGTGACACATGAATCAAGCATGTATAAATAAAAGCCCAAGTCTAAGTTGACGAAATGTTTGGATACATTACGTCGTACTTCCCAAGAACACGAAATGATACCGTATGCATGAGTTTATAATACTAATAAATGCAAACGCAGAGTTTGTGTTGAAGTTCACATACATATGCACACACACACACACATTCAACACTTTATGCAACAGTTTAATAGACACACGCACCCCAGGAAGAGTTTTTACAGTGTTTTAGACACATGCGTGTTGATACAAGGCAGGTTCAAGCTTGCCCCACTCCTGAGCATTGAGCCCGTGACGAGCAGGCTCACGCCATGGAGTGAGAGCCGTGGCATCGTCGGGCGGGACCATGAGGCGGACCCAAGCACACAAGCAAAGCGTCTCTAGGACTTTAGGAGGTAGATTCAGGTAGATCCAGTTTAGCTTGTAGAAATTACCATGCAAGGTGGCGCCGCATTGCAAATGCAGTCTGAACAGCTTCCGGAAAATCAGAGCCCGACGGCCCTTGTACAGTCCCATGAAGCTTCCGCATGAAGAGCATCAGGTGATGTGGAAGCACAAGCCGCTTCAACAAGTGTTTCTGTTTCTTGGATAAGCAAATCACGCCCGGGCACAGGGCAATGAGGAACAGTGAGACATGATCGAATGCATGCTACTACGAAACAGCCCTGACACTGAGTCTGAGCTGCAAGCAGCGCTTTCGCAGCCCTGAGGGCTTCCGGAAACTGCTGCGTAGGTTGAAAATAAGCGGCTAAGAAGAGCCCTGAAGCCCTTTTGCACAGACTTGTACATGCCCGGCTCAAGCCCTAAACCTTCAACGGTTTCAGGCTTCAGGCTCGGTTGCCCCGACCGTTTGGCGGCGGGTAAAATAAGCAGTCTTGAGGGTTTTTCAAGACTGTGCTTGTTGATACATTTGCTATCTGATGCTGGTAGTCAATAGTCATCGCGGTAAAGGGTGCGCGGCTCACTTCCAGAAAAGGCCCAACTGGTGCACCTTGTCCGTGAGAACCTGTGTTCAAGGCCGGCCCGTTCCCAAACGGCCCATCCACTGACTCGACAGGCTTGGTGGCAACAAGAGATGCGTGCATCTATATACACGCACATGCATACAGACACTAGCGTCCATCTATGTACTTACATAGAACCTTTCAATTAGACGATGCCCGGACGCACTCCGACATAGTATGTGCATGTTGGTTGTACATGTGTACTACCGCATCAGAATTACAAGTACAAAGACACACACACACACACGTTCGCATGATACGTCTTCTGCAAGTACTTCGGGTTAACCAAGTCAGCTCGGATGCGGGAAGCAATGATTCACGCTTTTAGCTAAGTGGCCGGGTAGAGTGCTTCCGTGCTTTCCGTCAAGACCTGAGCAAGATGAAAGCCTTTCCGCCGAAGGTTCGGCAGCAATACTGCATTCGCACTGGTCTCATACTGCACGTGCGTTACAGCGGCTGCAATCACCAAGTGCATGAGCAATCAAAAGGTAAGAGAAAGCACCGCACATCCACAAGCTACGGAAAGGCTGTGGTGTCAGTGGCATTTAGGGGTAGCTGTAGTCATCGCCAAAGAAGTAGAAGGTTCTGAACTAGTACTCGGAACGGCTACTGGGAAAATACTTGCAACAGCAATAGTACAACAAACAGGAGTAGCAGTCGTAGTCGTTTGTTGTTCCCGTCGTTGGGGTGTTTGTGCTTTGGCAGTGCCTGACATGAAGAGGCATCACCGCCAGAGCAAAAACTTAGCTGTCATCATCATCCTCAGTTGCGACTGCGAAGCCCTCTTCCCGTAGATTCGATGAAAAACAAATCTAATAGCTCAAGTTGAGAAAGAACATAGACGGATAGATGTCATGCTTGTGCATGCTGGAATATGTGCAACTTGGGTTCAGGATTATCTACATTTTGTTATTAGTTACCAGTACAATCGCGATGCTGATGACTGGTGGCGACGATGCTTTCGAATGCTGCTGCGGAACATTCTTCAGGTTCTCCCGGCTTCGTTCGCTGCCAGTGTGGCCATTCACGATTTCATGCTTTTCTTTGTATTTGTTGGCTAGACCGGCAAGTGTGGCGGCCTTAGAACCCCCAAAACCTAAGAACTCCGAAGCATTCAATACCTCAAAAACCGTGCAACACCCCCAAACTTAAACCTAAACCCCCGCCCGCTTAAAACAAACAAATAACAAGTAAGCACAAGTCACAGTTCGTGAAGCCAATGATGGAGTTGATCGTCGGAATGTCTTAACAACACCAATAATATGATCGCATCAAAATTCTAAAACAAGAAACTTAGCCCTTACCCCAACGGTCCAAACACCCAAATGGTAGGGCGTTAGGTCCCCAAATCCATACTCTGAGTGGCTTTTGGAACCTGTATAAATCTGCTCGGGCATTTGGACCCTAAACCCTAAACCCTAAAACCCAAAACCTAAAGCCCTACTGTTCGGGTACTTACCCTTATAAGGGTTAGGAGACCAAGTCCAAGGTGCCATAAGGAACTCCGAGGCCGCCTCCTCCTCGCCGTGGCTACCAAGGTCGCTGCGGAGCCGATCCTAAGACCCGTAAGAGTCTTCGGGGTTAGAGTTTATAGGGTTTAGGGTTTATAAGGTTTAGGGGTTCAGGGAGGGGGTGAAGGGTTTCGGGGTTAGGCTTTATAGGGTTTAGGGCTTCCAAGGTTTAGGGGTTTAGGGTTCAGGGAGGGGATTATAGGGACTAGGGCTTACAAGTTTAGGGTTTATAAGGTTTCGACTCACACACTCGCAAATGCAGGCATGGCAATAAGTGTCCGAGCTTGCTACGTGGACATACCGAGCTGTCTAAACAGAGGGCACTGCATTGCAGTCCAAAGCATGAACGAGAAAGTACACAAAACCAGTAATTTAGCATAAAAGGAGAGCGCCGCTCTCAGTGCCCGCAGTTCTCGGCTGTCCCCAGGTGCTCTTCCAGCGGTGCGCTCACTACTGTTCTGTTTCACAATAGACAAGGAATCTAACGTAAGACACGCACTGTAGTGGCCGCTGTAGGCGAGCCTAACTAGAGCGGCGATTTCTGAAGCAGCCTGTACGGAGTGCTATCATGCGTCATCATTACCAAAGCAATCATGCAGTGTTGGTCACGATCTTCTTCTTGTCCGCCATCGGCAAAATGCCAATCACGTGCTGGTCTGTTGCACTCATTCGCGATTGCACCATTGGTCATGCTCGCGATTCCACAATGCAGTGTGAACGCAGCTTGGCTTCCGCTCCCAGGCTTGCAGTGTCAACTCGACCACCTCCTTTCATTGCTGCTGTCTTAAATTCAGTATGATTCCGCGTTCCACAACTTCTCCATGCAGCTATTCATCGTAAACTCAACATGCAGTTCACATCCCAACAGGACAGCCCTTTCAAATGCAACTGTGAAGGGATGCACCATACTGCCATACAGGAATCATCGGACAGGCGACTGCATAGAGCAAGGCATTCCTGACCTAATGACATCATGAATTCAACTCACAGTTGAATTCATAAATTCATTCGCGATAATCCCGGTGCACTTCCTGCCAGTCTTCCAGACCTGCCGTACAGCAGCAGCCTCGCATGGCCTTGAGCAGTGCAGTTCAGCACTCCTTGCAAAGAGCGCGCTGTCGTCTGACTGAGCTCCTGGATCAAAGAGGCGCTGCATCAGAGACGTCGCCCACAAGGCTTCAAACGAGGAGGTGCAGTGTAGTCAGAACCATTGTGGCTCCCTGCAATCATGGCTCAGGCGCTGTCGAGGGGTCGTGGATTGCGACTAATCGAAAAGAGGGTCAAAGGCCCTGGAGCGATCGTACCTCCCGCTTCGGAAGCAAGCAGGCAAGCGACCCACGGCGGGGATTCGGGGGGTCTCTCTTGTAGCGGTAGCGGTGAGGGCGGAGCCCGTAGTGCACTCAGCTGTCGTTAGGCGCAATGCCACAGCAGCCACACGCGAGCCTATATACGAGAGGAACATTCGTATGCGCACTAACGTGTGCAGATCAATGCCTACGATACCCAATACCCATGAAGCAAGCCACAAATAGAGAGTGAGTCACCCAGCATATGCAATTCTGAGTCCTGGGCTCGAGGACTCGCGGCCGCACAGGCGGCAGGGCCCGTGTTGGGGTCTTCGCGCTCCTTTCAGCGGTATCTGCCGTTTTTAGCGGCGGCTCGTACGAGCGCCCCCCTGTAGAGGATCCGTCGGTCGTCTCCTACCTGAGCAACGTTCCTTCGGTGAGCGCTTGGTGGGAGGGATTAGAAGGAGTTGCTTCTGTCTGGGCGAGAAGGCCTAGGGCGGATAAGCTTTCGTCGCCTTCCCTCGAAGAGAGACCCTTCGAGACCTGCCTACTTCAGAGGTCGGGAAGCGGCCCGAGTGTGGCGCTCGGTGAGGACGTTCCTGTTACGGAGCGCCTGGCGGTCTTCAGGATCGTGATCCCACTGGGCCAACGTGATTGGCATGGCAACAACGATGCTTTCTTCGTCGGTCCACACATCATAGCAGCGGGTGCGATGGAATTGATGTGCTGACGTTGGGCCCTCGCCGGTGAGTTTGTCCGAGGCCAGCAACACGTGCTTGTCTGGAAAAGGCTCCAAGGGAACATCTGGGAGTGGACTATCCCGGGATATTGATTCGGAGAGTCGCGAATGTGCAAAGTTAGCCAGTGACTGCGCGAGAGTGCTGACAGGGCTGCGCAACCCCACATAAGCTTTAAGCTTGTGGCGGTGTCAGGATTTTTGCGCCTGTGTACCAGATGCTGAGCCTGGCTGGACGCGCTGGATCCCGCGCCACCAATCCGCGAGCATCAAGGGTTCTTCTGATTCAGAGCCAGGGCCCCAGTCGCTCAGACCGAAGCAGCTTCGGGCAACCGTCCGGTCGTAGGTCTGGAGGTAGTGTCGACGCAGAGCGTTGGCTGTGGGCTCCTGCACCTCGAGAGTTGTAAGTAAGGCCTGTGCCAGGGCATGAAACAGCAGTGCAGTTGGTATGGTACGGAGGCAATAGAAAGCTCTTTCAATGAGAGGTAAAAGAGCTTGACCGTGGGCAGTCAGAGCTCTCTTCATGGTTTTGAAAATGCCGGCACGGTGCGCAGCGATCTTTCCACCAGGGTCAGATGCTGGAGTTTTAGACTTTGGCCGCACGCAAGCCCCAGTCACATGAGCCCAGTCCGCCAGGCGGTCAGCACGCGGAAAAACCGCTTTCATCGCAAGGTTTTCGCCCGCGTGGAGGTCAGCATGATATTGCTGGCAGGTAGCCACAAGGTCGAGCTTGGCAAACTGCTGTGCGCAGTGCACGAGACGCTCGAAACAAAACTTGTAGGTTTGCTCGTTTTCTTTGTTGGCCACCGCGAAGGCCAGGGGGTTGAAGGTGCTGCGGAAGGCAAAGACAGCACTTGCAGGCGCGTAGTGCTTGGACAGCGCTCCGACAGTCAGCAAAACCCACTCGTCTTCTTTGAAGAGCCGAAACGTACCGTCCCCGCATAGTTTGACGTACTCTTTGTTGACAAGCCGCTGCAGCATCTCCTTGACCAGGCGTGGGTTGCAGAACACCACCACCGTGGCATTCGGCTGGACTTGAAGGCCAGCAACTCAGCGGGCACGTCCTGAAGCCCGTCCGTGGAGCCAAGCTCTCGCTCCAGTCGCCGCCAGTCCGCTTCGACCCATTTGTACGGAGTTATGGGGTCGGATTTGGTACCCTTGTTGACACGATGGTTCTTGGACCATGTTGTCAGCCACGCATCAGTCGGCCGAATGTCTTGATGCTTCTCAACAATCTTGGCAAGGTCCTGTGTAGTGAAGCGTGTTGTGGTTTTGACGAAGTCGAGGAGAGCATAAGAGTGGATGGGTTTGGAATCAGAACAAAGTATATTACGTACATGGCGGTGTCGTGCTTTGTGCTCGTTGTGGCGTTTCACGCACTAGTTCATCAATTCGTCACAGCCTCGATCGTCAGGCAAAGACAAAACCCCAAAGGGACTCAAAAACAAAGTCACAGACAATGCAATGGCTAGCACTGACATCGAGACATGTTTCGGATGCAACAACATTCATGAATTCCGCCTCAAAAACCTGGGGTCGAGCATTGAATTCGCATGCTATGCACGTATTGAATACTCCTGCGCATCATGCGGTAGGGGCACAGTACTGTATTGACAAACAGGTACAACAACATGCACATACAAACAACTCTGAAGAACCTCCCTTTAACTCCAATGGGTGAAACCCTAAACCCTGAACCATGAACTTCCTAGACCCCACGACTCTGATGCCTGAAGGCGCATGTGGATTGTCGCCGCCTCGCATAGTGTAGCACTCAAGGCCGAAGTACTGAGCAAGCATCTTTCGTGGCTTCGAGTCCCGAAGGTGTCAAAATGCCCACGTCGGCTTGAGTTCGGGTCAGAGCCCGCGTGGCAGTGGAGCGTTTAGTCGTAGTTGCCAGCTTCTATTTCGGAAGCCTTTTTGTCTGCCAGGGCAACCAGCCAAGCCGGCACTGCGTCCCGATCCAATTCCGTGGTGATCATGGGGGTCGTCCCCCCAGGCTTCCTCGGTGGTCGCCTGCTGGTCGGCTCGAAACTCTTTGAGCTCCTGCAGAGGGGCAAACTTGTGAGTGACCTTTGCCACCTTCGCCTTGCGAGGTGGATCGAACAGCCTGGCGATATTGTAGTCGCCAGGGCCCGGCGTCGGAATCACTCTGCCTTGTCACCCTTGCTTTTGTTATAAGATTAGGGGTTCAGGGAGGGGGTTAGGGCTTTCGGATGCTTTCGGGGTTAGGGTTTATAGGGTTTAGGGCTTTCAAGGTTTGGGGGTTTAGGGGTTCAGGGAGGGGATTGGGGATTAGGGATTAGGGCTTACAGGGTTTAGGGTTTATAAGGTTTAAGGGTTTCGGGGTTTCGGCGCTCACACTCGCACAGGGCATGTGGTTCGAGGTCTTGCTGAAGTGGCACATATTTGGCGATTCATTGTTTTGGGGCTTAGGGTCCTATCCTAGAGGCTTTTTCCATTAACAGCATGTCATACAGTTCAACATAAGAACATATCATGTCATACAGTATCTTGCTCGAGCTGGGGGTCGAACGCATCGATGCAGTCTCTGACCAAGGCGCCGCTGCAAGGCACTAGTGCGGATGGATGCCGCTTCCGAATCTGGACGCATAATGCCTGCCGTCGGGAAGGCCACATCCGTTACTATCTCCCTGCGGCAGCGAGAACGCCGCAAGATCTCCACTCCAGCATCCATCACGTCAAGCTCCTGCCGAACTTCCAACGGCAGTGGGGCGGGCCATAGCTGTAGCTTCCCAGGTATACGACCACCCCGTGGATGCAGCGCAGCTTGCCAACAGGCAAGGCATTTTAATGCCGCAAGTCCGATGCTGGGTTGTAAGGGTCCAACATGGCCAACGACATTGAGGACAAGCCCAACGTGCCACACGCCTGACAACAGGCTCCACGTCGTGGTGGGAGGCGGATGAGATGCGTGTCCGGTGGCACGCTACGTCCTTCTGCTCGGCAGTGGCCACGCCAACACCGCCCCCACCGGCCACACGAGGGTCTAGGCGGTATACCGCAACAGGCATGGCAGGTGGCTGTGCCGTTTCCGCCGTTGCCATTCCTGCCGGACCCTGCAAAGCAGGGTGGCAGGGCTTCCGCCGGGGGTCCTGTATTTTTACTGCAACCCCATGCCTTCTCTAAATTAGGGTCGCTTTTGAGGTCCCCCAAAAATAGTACGGCGCAGCCTTGCAAAGAAAACGGCCCTAGAAGTCCAGGGCTTTCAGGGGTCTTGACGCTTTAAATAGCGCTCACACTCGGACAATCCAGGCGAGGCATATGGTTCGAGGTCTGCAGAGTGAAACTAACTACACATGCGTCAAAGTACGAACAGAGGACCATAACATAGAGAACCTCTAAGAAGGCAAGGAGTTCGCATGTCAATGTGTGCACCAAAATCCACACTGTCACTGTAACTAGTTGGTGGACTTCGATGACTAATATCAGCCAATGTGAAACCCCGAGTGTGAACAATCATCCGGTATGATGACGGCAACATATTCGGAATGAGTATTTCTTGACAGTAGGCGCAAAGAATCCTGGCTATCTGCCTGAGTATTGGCGATACTGATAGCAGCCACCGGGGTGGCAGGCGGCCACCGGTTTTCGGCAGTCGCTCAATAGCGCGGCCGTGTCAGGCAGCAGCTGAAGGGGTCGAGCCAAGCGAGCCAGCTCGAACAGCTCCATGCTTCCTCATCGACCTGGGAAGCCTTCTGCTCGTCATTGTTGATCCTCATGGCCTGCCCGCTCCGGCCCAGCAAAACTGGGTTTCTGTCCTGAACTCCTGCGGCCGTCCAACCACCTGATAAGCATCACCGGATGAGCGAGCATCAGGATCAAACACCATGTTGTCCGCATCGTTGATCAAAATGACGAGGACGGACTGGGCCACGGCCATGGCAGCTGGCAACTGGGCGAGGGGGCAAGAGAGGATCACACTTGGCGAAGAAGCGGCTTGAGCCAAAATGGCTGAGGGGTTTAGGGTTTAGGGGTTTAGGGGTTGTTCAAAGTTTGTTTTATGGTTTCGACTTCTCGATTTGTGTCGACTCGCACCTTCGCTTCAGGAAGCAACATCTCGACTTGTTTAGGAGTTTGGGGTTTGAGGGCTGTGGGTTTAAGCCGTAGAGATTCGCGGATCTTGACAGTTTCGGAGGTTGTAGGGGTGGATGTTTCTCAGGATTTTCCACGTTTTGGGTGATTGGGATTAGGGATATGAATGCGATGCTATGCAGTCAAACCCTGATACAGTTTACGTAGTATAACAGACAACAACAAACGGTACACCAGCCAAGCAAACTCTTGCAAGCTCAGCAGCTGTAACAACCACGACGGCAGAATTCGCATCTGCCCGCAATCCTGCGCAGCCTGCACCACCTGCCTGGCCGGTAACTCGAAGGAGCGACACCCACCTGAGATGGGCAAGTGCTGCGCTCTGTGCCATCGCAGATCCCAACTCGCAGTCTGATTCCGAAGTGATAAGCAAAGGCGGTAGCCGCTGACCCAAATGCCCCATTCCGAAAAGCATCGCAGCAGCGGTGCAAAGGCATGGAGCGTCGAAGTGCGATGTACGCCCGTCCGGCCAGGAGGAAACATCGGTCCAGTAACGTTCCTTTAGGCCAAGGCAGAAGCTCAGCGTCTAAGTGAGGCAAGAAGACACATCAGCAATACTTGACCCCTCATCAGTAAGATCCCAAAGTCCCATGTTTGGTGCTAGTGGCCACCCGACTCTGCATCACTCACGGCCATGAGGACCTGGACCATGAGCTTTTCGGAACGTTTCGTTGCAGTTGCGTTACGAAACGAACCTATAGAGCTGCGAGAGTTCAAGGATTTGCAAAACATCAGGCTCGTCACACTTTGGCAATTCGAAGATCTCTTGCTGAGGGGGTTTCGCAGGTTAGTCAGGCCTTGCAGCTCCATTTTCATCGAGATGCACTTAAGTCCGTCGTGTTGAACCCAGAGTTTCTCGAAAAGATCGGCTTCAAGACAATGACCTGTGTCGATCGGGCCCGTGAAGTCGCCATGATGGACTGAGCTATCTCGCATAGCCGCATGGCAGTAGCATGCGGTGGCTCCACTCACTACCCTCGGTGCTCCTCCTGACTGCTCCTGCTGCCGTATGTCTACCAAGACTGAGAGCTTTAGCTATACCAAATGCGGAATGGCAAGAAGAGCTACCCACGATGATAAACAGAAGAACCACTGTCTTTGCCGTATCAGTGTAGCGCCGCATTTCGCCGTGGCGGAAGCCGGCATGATGCAAGTGCTGGCTGAGTAGTGGATTGGTATGAAGGGTTACCCTACCAAATAGGAAAAGAAGCCCGTCCACTAAAAACATCTTGAACTGACAGAAGCAAGTGACTGATACTTCTCTCAACCCATAACGAATCTAGGGAAGTTTGTCCTCCCTCGTCGTGCCATCTCCAAAATAACACTATCATGAGCACCGCACACTGGCAATTTGTTGCGGCAGCCGCAGGCGCGGCGCAAAGGGCTTTGGGTCCTGCGATTCGCATGCGAAAGCACATTTTTCATATCGGATTTGAAGGACACTCCCGTGGGCGGAGGGCCTCTCCGAAGATGAAGCCGAAGTCGATGTGAAAGAAGTGACCTTCCGGTGTAATCTGCAAGTTGTCGAGGTGCCGGTCACCGATGCCCAAGACCTCGCAGCAACTGGCTTAGGGCACAGCTTCACGGTGTTCATCGTGGTCACAACATGTCACAACATTGACATGCAATCGAACGGCAGTGTAACCCTGCGCTTCTAAAGTGGAAGGCCGCAGCCAGCACTTCTTTCGAACGCCGGATCAGCAGAGGATGTCAGCTGCTTCTGACAAGGCTTTGCCGGGTCAGTGCTGCCCAGTATAAGGGCCCCCAGCCGCCGAAATCCGGCAAGACCCGCCATCCGTAGCGAGTCGACTCAATCTCCACTCCCGGCACATCATGTGCCATGGGAACCAGGCGATTTTTCCTATCGTTTAAAACCTCTTCAATGACAAAATCATTCTCGATATGCGAGAGCGCGCATGTGGCATAGATGACAATGCCTCCCGGTAATGTATTTTGCAAAGCAGAACTCAATAACCTCACCTGCCGTCGCGCATTTGCTTGGGCCTTGGTCAGCTTCCATACCTCGGTGTTCTGTCCACGCCGCAGCGACCGCAACAGCCTCTCACGCTCAGAGGAGCAAGGTGCATCAACCAGAACCGCGTCGAAGGGACCTTCTTGAAGCTGGCCAAGAACCCTCGTGGAGTCAGCCCGGTGCACACGCACGTGACGCGAGGCGTCGTCGGGCAAGTACAAGCGGAGGTTTTGCTTCAGCCGGCTAACTCGGAAAGCGTCGCTTTCGATGGCCACGAGATCCGTCTTATGCAAAATGCGGCTTCTTAACAGGGCTCCTGCCAGCAAAAGGAACTTGCCACCGGGTGCCGCACATGTGTCCAGTGTTGCACTCGGCATGGAGGGGCAGGCTTGTAGTAGAGCCAAAACAGGCATGGCTGAGGCCAAATCAAGCGGATAGTAGGTCTTCAAACCAGTTACAGAACAGGTTGGCGGCTTTGGCAGCAACTGCTCCGTGGTTGCAGATGGTGCCCACAAGTGCGCCTCCCCCGCAATGCCTGTTAAGGGTTCCAGCTGGTGCGACCTGAGTACCTCCTGCGCTGCACCTTTGGCAGCGAAGGGGTTGACCCAGACGGCATATCTCTTTGGCTTACCCAAAGCCTCTGCAAGTTGAGGCCACCTAGTTCCGAACTCGCTCTCCAAGGTGACCACTGCCATGCAAGGACTGCGCACCAAAAGGAGCAGCGAGGCAAAACCAACAGAAATCCAAGCTCGGAATCTGGAGCATCGGCAAGCACCACATCTGCTCATGCGGCTGCCTCTACTGAGACTCTACTGACTGACTGCAGTATTATTTGACTTCATCGGACATACCGCGACAGCACGGGATGTTCCTACATGCGGTGGCATTGCGCCGTGGACATCCACGGACGAAGCTGATCAGACGTGTTCACTCCAATGTCCTGCTGAAGCTGGAAGATGGCAGGAAGGCGGGCGATGTTTCTTTTGTACAAGACTCCAAGACAAGACCATTTTAAAACGTCCAGAGCGAGACGCCCGGGGCATTTATTGCATCTTTGAACAAATCCTGATTCCACCATGAGAGTGGCTTGAGCCCTAAATTGACTAAAACCCCAGTTCTGCCCACGGGTCTAAGAGCCGGACATAGGTTGCCACGCAGTAGGCGGCAGCACTCCCGCACAAGTTGGCAAGGACCTTCCCATGGAACGCACATGGATTGCAGAACCAATCATATGAACGTGCATGACAGAGATAAGCGCGATAACACTAGCATGAAAGATTGTGAACGAACAGACTTGTGGCACTGGACTACTGGGCCGCATGGCAAGACACAGCAAGCACACTGCAGGTCTTCACGTGCGACAACAGCGAGCAGCTGAGCAGGCAAGAAAAGCTTAGCTGAACGAGGCAGGCAAAGGCTCCCCGACGACTTAGCAGACTTGGCACCACAAATCCTTGCTGTTTGAAATGCCCCCTGTTTGCTGTGAGACAAGGCGCAGCACTGTCAGGGGAGCGGGGGGCATAATTTGGAGGTTCTTGGCACCTGCACCTGGCTGACCGTGGCCGGGCTAGAGTGTACCTATACGAGATAAGGATGGGTAAGACAAGTGAGAAGTTCCTAGAAGCTGCCCCAAGTCCTTCAGCCCCTGTCTTGTTGCATCGCTCCACACTCAGGTCCCTTCCAGAGAGGAGAGAAGCTCCGCAGCATCGGACCCCCGACCTCGCTCCTTGAGGAACTTCGCAAAGCTCCTGGCGGCGCCGATGGTTTCCCAGTGCTGGGCGCCGTGGATACTTGGAGGATCAGGGGACTTAGT